CCGAGAGCCCTAGGCCGATGTATTCTGTTTAAAAATAACGAAAAAAAACAGTCCCAACTGCCCTTTCCACGTCCCCCTGTTTTCTGCGCTTGTTCGCGCTCAAGTGTTGAGGTCTAACCCCGGAGTGAAACACAGTGGTGAAAGGTTTTAGCTTGTTCCTGGGTAGGTGAAGTTCTGCGAGCACTGCGAGGCCTTCGTTGATATACACCCTTGCCGTTCGAACGGCTTGCCAACGTCCAGCAATCATGAGTTTATCCAGATTGCCGTGTTTGGAGAACCAAAACGTGGCGCCGCCCCGTCGAAGACTGTATGGGCGGAATTGGAACACATCAAGGGACAGGGCAGTGAGACATGCGGCAAAGAGCTTGCGCCATGCAGCGTTTGTGGGGCAAAGGCTGGCATGAGGTTTATGCCCTGTCTTCCAAATCCACAGCCACTTCAGTGCGTCCGCGCTGGAAAGAGTCACACTTTCTGCGGCTCCAACGCGCTTTCCTCCCTTAGTCCAACCTAACGAGATGACGGCCGGGGTCTTGGGACCCGTCATATAGATGTGCGAATTTTTGAGGTGTAATAGCTCCCCCGTTCGTAGCATAGCATAGAACCCCACTAGCAATGAGACCCCGAAGCTGAAATGTCCGTGAAAAAAGGCCCAGCCAACCATGGCCAGAACTGCATCTTGTGGTAAGGGGGGTGCCCTATTAGGGATCTCATTTGTACTCCAAGTACGCATCAACCTCCAGGACAACTGCAGGTGTCCTTTCAGCTTTGGATCTCGATCCTGTAGCCCAGCGAGTGTATCACAAGCTTGAGCTCGACCAAAGCCCTCTGACCACAGATATTCCACAAATTCAGCGAGGAGCCCGTCAAGCTGGTCTCTTTTGCGGGGTAAGGTCAAGTCATTGTCCTTCAGCCATTGGGCGAACTTTGATGTAGCAGTGTCATACCTGGCTCGAGTCTTTTCCGACACCGTCAACGACTTCAACGATCCTAACTTTCGTCTTGCCTTTTGCCTATCCTCACATGTCTGACCTTCTAGCACTCTCTTGCCTACTTTGCCCATTTTCGACACATGGGCCGCCGACTCGGACGGTCAGCGGGGTTTTGAGACGTATGAATGTACCCCCAGAGGGGGTGAAGGTCAGCTGCGATGAGATAGGCATTCAACCGTTGGATCGTCTTTCGGAGTTTTCGGCTAGAGCTTCGTCCTCTGGTCAATGCGTGCAAGCATACTAAGCTATCGGTGAGATGTAGAAAACGAACCCGTAGACGCTTCCCTCTGAGAATCTTCCACCGAACAGTAGTTAAGATAGCACGCAACTCCAGGAGGTTGATGTGATCACCTTCATGCTTCCACTTCCAGCCGCTAATTTCTTTCCATCTCCAAAGTCGCCCTGGTACACTTGCTCTAAGACGGGCATGTCGGGGTAGAGGGTCACTGCCGGCATGAACCATGAGATCTTCACCTTTGGATGTGGTCATACCTAACAGCTTTCGAAAGAGGGCAACGGTGTCAGGACTAGAGGGTGACTTTTGGCATGGTAGAAGTTGGACCCTTTCCCAGGGGTAAACTCATTGACCAGCTCTTGGAGAGACCGCTTCTTGCACAGTCCTAGAGGAACCATAACCTGCATGATAAGCCACGCCACAACTCCCAATTGGCAGGAGTTGCCTAGGAGACTCAAGCGGGCATCGTCATAGCTGGCCCCTTCTGTTCAGCTTTGACTACGCAGTTCCTGGTATAATCAAGAGGGAACCCCATGATTAACTCACGCTCCTGTACAGTGGGTCTACGCCAGACACCTTTCTTGCTCCACAGGCCATGGGTGTCTTTGTACTGGTATGGGGGGAACCTGTAGGAATCGTCTCTCTACCGTTGCAGCTCATGTTCTGCGCAAGAATCCAGTCCCGCGGGTCACCGTCCTGGAGTATCTCGCGGCCGTGAGGTCGTAAAGGTAGGAAGTGAACACCCTTCGCGAAGGCTCCATCCCTGCTGCAAAAAAGCGCCACTGTCCACGTCAGCCTGGAGGTGGATCGTGTCAAAGTCTTTCCAACCCTCTTCCTGTTCACCTACGCAAGAGACCCCCGGCTCCTCCGCCAGGGCCCAACTGACCCAATACAGCCTAGGACGAGAGCACAAGCAGATTCCCTTTGAGTCAATCTTATGAGGAAGCCGCCCAAAAGTGCGGCTCATCAACGCCCGATCCTCTGGGCTCATGGAAGCCACATTCTCGACCAATTCATGGACTTGGGCCCAAGGAAACCCTTGGCGCAACAGCTCACAGATACGGGGTACATGGACAAACAATGAGCTTCGCTCATCTCGGACGGCTCCCTTACGGTCTGCGTTGAGCCCACTGACTCCTTGACACGGGGGGCCTGCGCCCACAAGCACAACGCCGACATTGCTGTATTTCAAAGCTAAGGTCGCAACTTGCTCTGCCCCAAATTCCACGACGTCATCGAAAAAGTCAGTCTCAGGGAAGAAACTCTCAACTACACGATGCCCCTTTGGGTCCTTTTCGATGCTCACATGGCCGGCCATGGGAAGCCCCAACACGTCACAGGCCACCCGCAGGGCTCCTATACCGTCGAATAAACCTACCGACAGAACCTGGACCAAATCCTCCGGCTCGGGTACATCACCTCTCACCTGAGCATTCAAGGCGGCCCGCCCATAGTCGGTGAGACCTGTGGAAGAGCAAGCACCTCCTCCCTGCGTTGAGGCATCCGAACAAGTAGCTACACCGTCAAGGGGGACCCGGAAGTCCATCTGTGCAAGCGGGGCCAAAGCAATGAACCTGGACAGTTCCACCTTCACCTCCCATGGCAATTGCAAACGAACCACTGGTGCCTCTCCTGCAAACCTCTGCATGTGGACAAAGACCTCGTTCAGGCCGCACAACAGGGCCCGTCGGAACATACAGATGTAGATGAAACCCCCACAGACAACTTGTAGTTCCCTCAAGGTGCATTGACCCCGCCTGATCAGTTCGTCAGCAAGCTTACAGTATACCTGCACTTTTTCTGGCTTTGGTATTGCAAACCCGGCCTCACCATCGAGCATCGCACCTTGCACCTCACCTTGAAGAGCTCTCTGAACAGACTTTTTGGGGTGACGCGGCAATCCCATGCAATCATACATGTCACGCAGCCGGACAACAGCATCTGCGACACCACCCTTGATCTTGTCCGCTAAGCGACTCTCAGTCTTCTCAAGGAGATCAAAATTGTCAAGGTAAATACGATACAGTTGGCTGCCTGAACTCATGGCCCTATCCTTTCGCATCTCATGCTCCCCGCCTATGCCAGCCATCTCGGCCCACTTCACTACATTCCTGTGAACATGCTGTGCAATGGACACACTATTAAGGAAGCCCATGGGCAACACCCTAGCCACCAAGACACAAGCACGGCCTCCATATTGTTGTGGGACTAGGTCGGGGGGAACCTCCTTGTTGAAGCCAAGGTAGCGCTTCCACTGGTCTGGCACACTGAACAGGTAAAAGAAACACCGGATATCTTCGCTGCTCAGTAGTACCACCTCCCCCGCATCGAGGAGGAAACCCGACAATCCCGCAATGCCCGGGAGTGTGCTAATATCTCCGGCCAGGGATTTACATAGAGTATTCACAGGGATCAAATTCATGATCAGCCGTTGTGTCTCCAGACCGTCCTTAAACTCCCCCTTGCCCACTGCAAACATGCCGTTCAGAAGTGGTTTGCCTTGTACATGACAAAGCTGGTCAATGGGCATCACGTCACAAACTTTTCGATCAATAAGTCCATGACAAAGCTCCCACCAACCATCCTTTTCCACCATGACCCTTGGGGGTTTAGTGTACTTCCAGTCCTGTGGGGGAAAGAGAAAGCTCTCAAAGTTTACGACATACTCCAACGTGCCAAGGCGACAAAAACGCTGAAGATCGAGACAGCCGACCTCTTGGGGGAAGGAGTCCTGAATGGCCCTCCAGTTCATAGTCATACCAACCTTCACCTCTTCACCCAGGTAATCAACGGACTTTCTCTTAAAGAAATCCTCAAAATTAATAGATACTTCATCCACCTTCCACACGCCATGTCTGTGAACAAGATCGCTCAAGTTTTTTACCGCAAGGCTCTGCGAGTGCGAGGAGTCCTCAATGCTAGGAGGCTGGGTCTTCCAGCCTCCCAGATGGTTGATAGCTGCCACGGCCGCTGCCACAACCACATCCGCCTGGGGCACAGGTAGGGGCATGAAGTCTTGCCGTTCTTCTTTTTCCCCACCCATGTTGGAGCGCATCTGTTTGTCATTGATCATGGTGCCCAAGGCGCTCTTGCATAACTCGCTCATTGTCCTTGTCGGCGTTGCTGGCAGCGTTTGCTTTCCAAATATCGTGGCAGTGTCTCCTGAGTGAAGTCCCGCCGACGGAGTTTGGTGCAGCTGCTCAAAAACCACTTTTGGATTGAATTCGTGAAACTCGTCCGCTGAGGTCATAGGGCTCGTCCCCAGCTCTGTAAAAACGCTACTCCCTTGTAGTTGGTGAATCTCCCTGCCACCAGGAGACCACCCTACCCCAGGAGCGACCTGCATCATCTCCACTGCACGAGGAGCCGCCTTGCCACACGGCAGCTCCCCCACATAGTCACCCGCCAAGCCACTGTATGTAGGACCACCATTGCCACCATGCACCCTCTGACCATCTAGGCTGCCTTCTTCTTCCCCTCGCTCTTTCCTTTTTTGCCCTTGTCGAACTTGCCGCTCTTCTCTCCCTTCTCGAATCGGTCTTTCCAGTCTCGCCATTGCCCTTTGCCCTTCTCGGAGGTGTCCCTGGAGCTTGCTTTTTGTAGTACTTTCACCTCTTCGTTGGCCTGGCGGCCAGCTTTCATGATCTCTGTTGTACTGGCGAGCGATGGCTTCTCTTGGGCGACTAGCTCCAACTGTCGAAGTAGTTCCGGCTTCATGCCCTTGGCATGACCCTCTAGGGCCTTCAATCGCTGAGCCGCCAGGTCGGCCGCAGCAGCCACTTGGCCGCTCAGCAGGAGATCCAGCAGCAATCCCCAGTGATGGGATTCCCGGGCTACTGGCCCGCTCATTGACGGCGTGAGGATCTGGGCAGGAACCGCTCCTTCCATTGGCTCGGATGCCGTCCCCATTTGCGTCAACAAAGCCTCCTTGGCCTCTGCGATCATAGCCATGGTGAGGGCTCCCGGGCAAACCTTCCAAACCCTCTGCGTGGGCGTCGCCGGCTCGAAAAGGTCCTTGTCCTCCACGCCCACACTCTCTCGGCTCGAGCTGGATGAACTCTCCGACCCTGAAGAGCTGCTGCCCCTCTTTTTGTTTCGGCTCCTCCGAGCCACCTTGCGTGCCTTTCTTTTGACCCTCCGCCGGATCTCGGGCTTTGGGTCCAGCCCCGTGGATGAGAAGAGGCTCTCCAATCCCTTTTTGCCCTGGATCTTCAAGGCGTCCTTCTTCCTCCTCTTCTTCTTCTTTTTTGCCTCCTCGTCTCCCGAAGTTCCAGGAGACCTTGACCTCTTCCTCTCCTTTGTCACCGGTCCTCCAACTCCTTTTCCTTTGCCTCTCAACTCCTCTACTGACTTCCGGAGCTGATGCAACTCGTCCTCCTCTTCTCTTCCTCCGGCTGCCTCCAAATTCTGGCTCCAACCAATCTCTGCTCGTTGAGCCTCCTGTAGCTGACTGCAATGCACATAGGCCTCGTCCCACACCAGTGCTTCGCAGGGATCCCCACATAGGTGCACTCTCAGCTGTCGGGAGGGGATCCCGGTCAGGGCCTTCAACAAGCTCTCGGTTGGAGTACCTGAAGCTGTCATAGTCAGTTCTCGCCCGCTGTCCTTCATCTTCACCTCCAAGACCTTGCCGATGAGCTCCACGTCCTCGTCCCAGAAGCGCCCCTGTATGTACGCCCAGGGCCACCCCAGGAGAGTGTCCGTATCGACCTCTCCCGATTTCAGCCATCCTCTGCCTGCCGCAACTGGAGCCGCTGCTGGTCGGCGAAGCACCCCTCTCCGGACCACAGCAGCAGCAGGACGCCTCTATCACCTAGGCTAGCGCCTCCGGTAGCCGCGAGTCCTCTCTTCCCACAGCCGCTGGCGCCGCCGTTCCCAGTAGCGCTCGTTCTTGAGCTCCTTCTTCAACCTCTTGTTCTTCTTCTTGGTGACAGGCCTGTTCTTGTAGGCTCGAATCGGGCCGATCCACAGCTGTCCCCGAGTTGGTCGGCGGGGAAGAGGCGGTGGATGATCAGGTGACTTTGGCCTGCGAGTCCTCAATGAACAGTCCTCCCAATTTCCAGGAGGAGCTTCAATCAACGTCGCACCTTCACCTTCTCCTTCTCGGCCAAACGAGGAGACTTCTCGGCCTCCCCCAGGACTGTCCAAATAAGGGCTCGTGCTTCTTCGCTTCTTCTTGTCCTTCTGATCTCGCTCCCTCGACCGACTGGTTGACCTCTTTCGCTCAACTTTTGCTTTTGGCCTGAGGTTCAATGGGCGGCTCGCACCCGACTTTCCGGTGGAGCCTTCTCGGCTTTTCTTTTCCTTCAGGGGTTCAGGCGGCTTTGCACTGGGCTTTGCAACTTTTCGAGGAAGGGGAAGTCGAGGGTCCTGCTCACCAATGGGCTTCTTGCCCTCTGTACCCTGCTCTGGTGTAGTCGGCTTCCTCGATGAAGAACCAGCACCCTCCACAGCAGGGGTGACCACCGGGGCAAGTGTCACTTTCTTATCCTCAACAATCCTTTTCTCTTCAGCAGTGTCCTCGGCAGTCTCAGGTTTGGGTAGCTGGTGGTCTTGGGTGTCCCTCTCTTGCTCGTCTTTCTCCTCAGTGGCAATCTCTGGTGTAGTGGCGGTCCTTCTCTTTCTCCTCTTCCTCTTCTTAGGGGCCTCCTCCTCGGCCTCACTCTTCACCTCCTTATTCTCAACCTCGACACCAGGAGCTGGGTGGCAGCCAGCTCCCGATTCCTCTCCTCCTCCAGCACGATGCTCTCGCTGAAGGAGTTCCAGGCCCTTCTCAAGGATCCTGGTGTAAGCCTTCTCAAGGACCTTGGCAACGTAGGTCCTCAAAGGCTCGGTGGTAGCCTCGTCCACCACCACCGACGCGACCTTTCCCAGGGCAGTGCACGCAGCGCAAGTGCACTCCCGGGAACGGTGGTCCATCCGGCAGCAAGCTGCAGCCGAAACACTGCGTAAAAGCAGGCGCGTTTGGCGTTTCGTTTTAACTCACGAAAGCGTTTATCATATATTTATTGCAAAAATATACCAAGGCCAGGAGCATGCAGGGTGATCGGACTTAACCATCACACAGTGGAATACATCGATGCAAATCATTCAATCGTGCTGTCTACACTTGCATTGATGCGCCACCCTGAACGCACAGTGACCGAGAGGCATAAGGGCATGACCTCGTCCAAATCTGCATCACCAAAAGGGGCCCTTGGCTCAGAGCGGCCAAGCAGTTTTGACCCGAAATCGGAAAGAAAACGAAGAGGAAACCTCTCCAACTGCAGAAACAACACTACTTTCATCTGAGGAACCTCTCTGACCAACCAAAGCGTGAACAGTTAACAGTTGTACTGTGACTTCTGTGGCCAGAGGAAAGAAACTATGTCCAAGGATGTGAAAGATCAAGGAGGCCTAAATGATTCAATATGAGCGATAGGAAGACTTTCCCTCAATGGAGTTTCATTGTTAATCAGTTTTGGTTCTGCTTCAGTCCTTGAGTAAAGTGCCTTGCTGCAAAGTGTCTCGATGGTTCTCACCACCTGAAGCTCCTCCGCACTTATGATATGAACCTGAGCCTCCTGAATCACAACCAGCCGGTTGCCTTCCAGCCATGTATGATCCACAATCTTCTCTTCTGGCAATTTGCTGAATGCAGGCATCATCCTGGGCAGCAAGTTCACTGAACGAGGCGTTCGTCCATTGAGAGTTGCCATTGACCTTCCAGTCACACAAAGTGTGAGCTCCCTCCCTCGGGTCCCTCGACCTGACTCTACCTCGCCCTCTCTCTCTCTCATTCTCCCCCACCTCGCCTTAATGAAACTTCATTTTTGGCCTGCCGGATCTGCATGAGCCGCAACATGTTGGGCCCAGAGGCCGTGGCCTAAGCAGGATCGACCAGAACCTGCTGGGGGTTCTTCTAGCTTGCTAGCCCACTCCCGAATGCACTTGCTTAGAAAGCACTGCAAGGAGTAGGACAGGTGGTTCAGTAGAAGTAGGACCAGCATACAAGTGTTACAAGGTTGGTGTGATGGTGTAGGTCAGGCATTCCAGCTACGTAAGGTGCAGAGACTCAGAGACGTCCAACAACTGCCTTCTTGGCCACCCCGACCTGCAGGCTCTCAGGTTGGGAGGGAAAACTCACACGATCCACTTGCCCGGGCAACTTGCATTTGCAAAGCGTTTTCTCTCCTTCCTCAGCGCCAATGGAAGGAAACGCGGTATGAACACAAGAGAAAAAATTAGAAACAAAACTGCCCAGTAGGTGAAGCACGATGTGGAAGCCTACCAGTGTGCCTCTTTGCACCTACACGGTTGCCTTAAGCCTGCAGCCTGAAACCAAGACTCCCAATTCATCAAGACCAACGCTGATTCTGCTCCACTGGTGGAAGCGAGCAAATACCGAGGCATGGCACCCTCCACCGGAGCAGAGAAGGCCAATGACAACAATCTTCCTGCTGCAGTGCCCAAAGGCTTGAGGCACTTCATTGGCGCAGAATTGCCCGACCTGGCGCAGTAAATCAAAACGCAAGAGTCAGACGTGTTTTTTCCCATTGGAAGGGGCCAAGGAATCCAACTTGGAAAAGTCCCTCCCCACATCAATCAACAAGCAACCACGCCAACTACAGCAAGCACCTCAAGTCATAGACAGAGATGCGCGCTTCGCTGGTGCATTTTTCAGCCAGTGCGAGGAAGGCGCGATCCCGTGACACGCAGCAAGCTGTAATGAGCTCAATCTTCCTCAACGTTTTCTCCAAGGAAGCACTTGGCAAGTAGATCAAAAAACAGGATCGACAAAAATCCTAATTCATTGGTGTGCTGGTTCCCTGTTCTGTTGCCCCTGTTCCGTGGGTTCTTTTGTTACTTCTCGGTCTCTTGTTCCTTCAAGTGCACGATCAATCTAAAATACCATTGATTGTCTTCATTTGTCTTGTGCGTTTTGCAAAAAATGCAACGCAATGAGCCTTTTTAAGTCTATTCTGCGAGTTCCACGAACATGGTGCAAATGTCGGGATTGCAAATTGGTTTTAAATGTCTCAGCCACAAGTTGGGTTTTGTCTTTTGCTTCGCTTGGGGGAGGTGCTGCGCCCTCCCCCCCACCCCCCTCCAGCACTAGGAAATCTGCAGTAATTCTTCCGAAGCCCTTGAACAACCTTTTCAAGCCAAATGTTTTTCTATCGGTTGCCTGGCTCTTTAGTCATCGTGCTGCCATTGTTCCTTGTTTGTTGTTCTCATTTGGCATGCCAGCACTCACATGAGAGCACAATATGAGAGCATGCGCGCACACACTGGGAAGAGTTATTGGGTGGGCTGCAAAGAAAGTCAAAGTTCAGAACCTCCCGGACACAATGACCCACAAGAAGGAAGACAAGACCGCAGACAAAGAAAGAATGAAGGGAGACAAGGCGGACACAGTGACCAACAAGAAGGGAGACAAAAGGAAACAGAAGGGAGACCAGGCGGACACAGTGACCAACAAGAAGGGGGACGCAGTGACCAACAAGAAGGGAGCCCAAGGGAGACAAGCCGGACGGAAGGCGGACACGCTGTGGGCAGCAAGACGGAAGGCTGTTTGGGGAAGTACAGAAATCACCTGGGAGACAAATGAATAGAAATGCTGGAAAGGGGAAAAGGGCGGATGCCAGCAGTGCAGGCACCGAACCTGGAAAACAAAAGTAAACAAACCACATGGGAAACAAATTAATAGAAATGCTGCATGGCCAGCGGAAAAGGGCGGACACCAGCAGTGCACGCACCGAACCTGGGAGACAAAAGTAAAGAAATCATTTTAAAGACAAACGAATTGAAATGCTGCATGGCCAGCAGAAAAATGGGCGGACACATCTTAAGAAAGAATTGAGAAACCCTACGTAACGGCAAACTGCTTGGGGAATGAATAGAAATGTTGCATCGCCAGCGGAAAAGGGCGGACACCAGCAGTGACACATCTCGGAGACAAATGAACAGAAATGCTACATGGCCAACGGAAAAGGGCGGACACCAGCAGCGACTGGGAGACAAATGAATAGAATTGCTACAAGGGCGGACGCCAGCAGTGACAGACCTGGGAGACAGATGAATAGAAATGCTACATGGCCAGGGGCGTGACAGACCTGGGAGACACATGAATAGACATGTTGCATCGCCAGCGGAAAAGGGCGGACACCAGCAGTGACAGACCTGGGAGACAAATGAATAGA